TTTGGTAACCGAGATGTAACAATTTTTCATGAAGGTCGCTTAAGGTTAGACAACTCCGTACAATTTCACTTCGCCGACGTTCGTTGGCAGAAGCACCAAACATGGCTATGTCGACAATTGTTTTGAGTAACTCAGGCTGCTTACATTCAATACGAGGACGGCCTGGAGTACTATGTGTTACATTGGCTGCGTCGACATTATTTGCACTTATTTCTGCTAGTTTCGATTTAAGAGTTAACCTATGCTTTTTGGAGTGAATAGCGTGAAGCTTTTTTCTTCGGAGATGTTTTTTACAAGACTCAATACGTTTTTTGATTTTAGAAATTTCGTTTGATTTTCCACGGAGCAATGCCACATTGTATTCAGCTTTCAGTAAAGAAATTTGATTCCGCAGAACGTCCTGCGCTGGGGTATTACGACAAATTGGCGTAGTAAACTCTTCAGAGTCCTTGCTATTTTGAACTACGTCTGCGGTTTCACTCTGGCTGTAGTCGGGTTCAATTGCGGGGGTAGAACTATCGTTCAGTTGAGGCGTTTCTTTATCATTGTTCTGAAATGCATAATACAATAATGCATTACTATTACAAACTTTTAATAAACTAAAATCTGTCATCACCTTTTCATTGGGGTGTTGGAAGTACTGGGCAATATTGGTGATCTTAACTTTTGTCGTTGACTGCTTTAGCTCTTTAATTTTATTTAAAACAATGCTTTCGAAATCAGTTTTGTCTGTACAAGTTTTTTTAGCATCTCTCCAGAAGATGTTTGTACTTTCCTGGCACGCTGCTTTTGTTTTATTTGTATGTCGTGCAACATATGCACGAAATAGCTGCAAGTGAAGATTGGAATTCATTTCACCATAACTTTTTGAACTTAAATCATAGGAAGAGTTTGAATAAAAATTGGAATGGGTTCTACGCGACACGACTTGCAAGTTTTCGGTTATATTTTGAAACTTTTTACATAAATACATATATACATATTTATCGACTACGCTCTCAGTCAGCTGATATGATTGCCATATGCAAAATATTTAATAGAAAGGGAAATGTGGTTATTATTGAGATTAAAGCAAATCACGTGATAATACGAAACACCCCCCCCCCCCTACGTGATCGATAGTGATCATTTACCTAACCCCCCCCTCCCCCTAAAGTGGTCACATGATTTATGGACGCCCCCTTGTCTACTGAATTTTTCTGATCACTTAGTCGACTTTTATCTTATTACCAAAACTGGAGACTTTGCTAAAGCGCCATAAGCTAATGTACTGCTTATTCAAATGTGCTAAGTACTCCAAATTTTAAATCCCTTTTAAATATAAGTTGCTTGTGCATATAAGTTGTAAATGCCACTAAATCAGATTGTAAATAAAATTGCTTACTCGGCCTTGTATATTAATTATAGAACCGAAATACATTTTTGCAGCGGCCATGCCCTTTGTTGTTAATTGCACTTATATTGTGACAATCGAGGAAGTCTGGGCATTTGGAAGCAGATTTCATGCATGCAACAATTGAGCGTGCAAGAAATTAAAAAAAAAACATCGCTAAAAGATTATTTATTTAGCACGATTTTATGAACATGTCTGCAACCGATTTATGGGGCAAAAGCAAAGCGCATGCTACAAACCGTGACTTCTCTTGGCGACGTTGTATGTATTTGAACTAAAATTTTTTAATTAAGACCTTTTTGTTAGCCCATTCTCACGAATTTATTTACGTATTTGATTTCATAAAATAATCTTGAGCTGGGGAACTATAAATTTTTGATATTTTCGATAATAACTTAACTGTAATTAAACAACCCTCACCCACAACCACATTTTTTCAAATTATAAGTATACACGTGTTTTTGCATCAGATATTTTATTAGAAAACTTAGTATAAAATTGTATTCAACTACTTTTTTGTACTGTATTATTATCACTACATACTTATGTATCTAAATGTAGATACATAGTTTGCACCTATTTAAGGTTGTATATGAAAAAGAATGAAGTCCAACCAAAAAGTAACATTTGTATGAAGGGTTTTATCAAAAAGTAATATTTTTATATCAGTTGCATCAAAGAGTAACAGTATGATTTTTAATTGGTTTCTAATGGCTTAAAACGTTCCACTAATTTAAAATACATTTTTACATATCGCTCATTTATTTCAATAGTGCCACAAATCAAAAAAACCAAACGCGATAAAAACGGCTTTAAAGTTATGAATTTACATTTACTCCCATAGTAAAAATTAATACATATTTTGTTCTAGTGGGCTATGGGTAATCGATACATTATGAAATTATTACACAAAGTAGAAGTATCGGTTATTTCTGTGTACTTAACTCAATATTTGTAATTTTTGAGTTGTGACACTGAGAGTAGAAAAGTTGTTTTTTAATTTTTCCGGAGAAAAACAAAACTTCTTACAACTTATTTTCTTCAAATATTTTGCAAAACTTTGATAACAAAAGTTTTGCGTTTTCAAAACAAAATATTACTTCAAACAAGTAATACTTAGCCTTACTGTATCCAAATGTAAGTTTTCATAAAAAGTAGATTTAGCAGCTTTTAAATCTATGCTAGCTATAGCTTACACATACAAACACATATCTTTTGGCCTTACAGCGCATACATTAAAATTTTGGATTGTTTTCGATATATCGCACGTTTAATAATATCGAGATGTAACTCAAAATTTACGGTTTTGGAGATTTCATCATACAATGAATAAGCTTAATATATAGAACTTGTTCAGCCCAACAAATGGTTAAACTTCCCAAACATCGCAAAGATATGGGTCTTTTCAGCTGTCTTTTTGTATATCAACTGTATGAGTTGATCAAACTTTGATTGTGTTTTCCCACAAAATTGAAATTTTGAAATACTTCTGTATATTATTAAGCGTGCGATATGTTTATGTGCATGTATTTATATATATTTAATATATATCACTTATTGTATAATTAATTTAATTTATTTAATGTGAAAATATAACAAAAATATTTTTGCATAAAGCATTTAGAAAACAAGTAAATACATTTTGTTTTAGTTATACTAAAATCTCTTTTAAGGTACATCGAGTATATCAGTATCAGTCTTAGAAATCGTTATTGTCCATATTATAGTTCAAAAAAACCATTTTAGCTAATTTAGCCGATTTTATATTTTCTCGTTTTTGAGTTATTATCTGACCCGCATGTGAAAAAATTCTTTCACATGGAACAGATGTAGCTGAAACGCACAATCTTGTTTTTACAATTTGATATAATCTGGGTTATATATGTTTCCTTTGATTCCACCATAGCAAAGGACATTGATATTTGCCATTTTTGTCTTTACGTGGCAATATAGGTTCAGCCAAATATTTGTCTAATTCAACTATTGCAGATGCCACCTGGTTGTTAGGTCGTAAATATTGCTGAACCTCAGCATCAAAGTCTTTCCAAACTTTTTCTAAGTTTTCATTTTCGACATTACCCGCACTACCTGTTGCCTCACTTGGTTCATCTACGACATCTTCGTCAGTGTAAATTCTTATATTTGCTACTTTATTGTAGAGCATTTCTACAGCAGATTTATACTCAGATTCGTTTATGAAGCCAAATTTTTTAAAGCGTGGGTCTAACACTGTTGCCTGCGCTATAAAAATGTTGTTTTCTAAGTCGATGAACCTGGCACTAAGCCCACCTAGTAAATTGTTGACCAATTTGTGCACTATTGGAATTAATTCACGGCTCTGCAATGAATTTAAATGCTTCGTTAGCTGCTTTACATACAAAATAATTGAAGACGAACTGACATGCTTCTGAGTACTTATAAGATTTGTAATTATTTGAAACATTTCCATTACTTGCATTGTTTGCTCAATTATTAACCACTCCTCATTTTCTAAAATTTCGACATTCTGCGACCCGCGCAGAAGATTTTATCAGAGCTAACGATGAGATCAATGGAGTTTTTAAAAGTAAAAAGCGTTTAAGCATATCGTATGTAGAATTCCATCGAGTGGGAACGTCATTTATTATTTTCAAAATCGGCATCTGCATCCCTTCCAACGCTCGTTTAAGTTCCTCATTTGCATAGTTACTTTTAGTAAAAAGCCTAACAATTTGTTTTACCTTTTTTAAAACAACTCCTACTTCTTTCAATCCCGATTGCGCAACCAAATTGAGTGTATGGGCAAAACACCCCCAATGCCTCCATCCCCCACCACGTACAGCCGCCTTCATGTTGGCCGCGTTGTCTGTAACAATGACCGCAACTTTATTATCAATTTGCCACTCCTTCAACACATCTTGCAGCATTTTCGTTAGGTTGACAGCCGTATGTCGCTCTGTGTACGATGCACAAGTTAGCAAATCTGATGCGAGAAATGTTGAATTATCTCCCTCAACAATGTAATGTGCGGTTACACTAAAATAGTTATCCTGGGCTCGCGACGTCCATCCATCAACTGTCAAGCAAACAGCAAATGCTCTCGTCAAGCGTTCTTTTACGACAGCCACTGCTGAACTATAAGCATTTGTTAATAAAGCTGAAGAAACTGTTTTCCTTGTCGGCAACATGTAGTTGGCATTTAGTAGATGAACCAGTGTTTTAAATTCCTTTTCCTCTACTATAGTGAATGGATGGTATTCTTTGACAATCATTTTCAAGATCTGCCTATCGATCTACTCTTTCTTCTTTAAGGGAAGTGGTTTAGTGAAAAAATTTGTTATTTTTATGGTTGACAAATTGTCAGAGTTTCGCGTGGAAGGCAAACTTGAAATTAATGACGTATCATTATTAGCTTCAGCTGGGTCAACAGGTTGCTGCCTTGAAATTGTTTGGGTTGGATGCCTCCTCTTCATATGCCTTATAAGACTACATGTTGATTTATTTGCAACCGAAAGTTGCTGCGCACAGATTAGACATTTTACTTTTTGATCCTTTTCTTCCGAAAAGTTGAGCCACACATCGCTGAACTTTTTAGCCATCATCCTAAAAATGTATAAGGATGTTCGTGTAGTAAATAGTTTGAAACAATTGCTAGTAATTATCACGTTTTGGTGTTAATGTAACCAAGAAACTTGTAAAGTAGGGAAAATTGAGAGAGCAAAATGACATTTTATTTTGTGAGGAGGTTCCAAGGTTTGGCAAGTTCCTAATTGCATGTTTCCTTATATTAATGGGAAATGTTTACACAATGTACAGGGTTACAGGAAATGACGAAAAATATTTCAACCTTTTTGAAAAGTTAGAAAAATGTACCAGGTTGTAAACTGATTTTCAGAACAATTCGAACGATTCAACTTACATTTGAACGTATGAAACCCGGCTTGACTTACATGAACATAAGTTACATATTTATCCTTTTAGTTGAATAAAAATCGGGCATAAAATTGGCCAAAAAAGGGGGAGGTGTTCTTTAACAAAAGCCGTGTAAATCCAAGCTTCAAAATTTGTGCAATAATAAAAAAAAAATCAGCAAACATTCGTACAAATTTCGAGCTATTTTAAAAATTCTAAAAATCAATCGTAGTTTTTAGCCATTTGAAACTTGTTCTTTATTCTACTAGAATTCAATGGGCTACAAATTTGCATTCTCAGAATCTAATTATAAAACTCGAAATTGCTACCAAAATTTGTTGAATTTTTCTATTTAATTGCATAAATTTTTAAGGCAGTTGCACTCGGTTGGTACATTTGTACAGATTAGAACATTCTTATATTGTGCTATTGGTACAAAATAAAAAAATTGGAAAATGTTTTTTATAGTCAAAAGATTGGTACAAAACAGCGATGTTCTATTGAAAAATTTTAACAAATTAATTTTCGTGATTGGGGTGAAGAAAAATATTTGGGTATTCACACAATAGGGATACGATTTGCACCGAATTTTGGCAAATACCCAATCGTGTGACACTGCCTTTAAACTTGTATTTATACGGATGTTGTTAAAGAATGAACTATAAAAACTAACCAAATTAAATAACAAAAATATTTCAAAACTTTTGAAAATTTGGTGCGGCTATAATTTTTTCGACTACTGTGCGGTTTTTCCGGCGGTATTACCAAATCTGTTATATTTTAAGACTTTCACCAAATATTTCGGAAAAATA